TGAATTGATTTGTATATGATAATTTTATAATGTAGACAGGGTAACAATAATAAATACAAGTTCTCATGCTAAAATTTCATCAAATTAGCTTTTGAAATTATTATTTATATATCTATATCCAACGATATCTTGTTTTAATCACATTGACACATTCCCTATTAAAATCATAATACCCAGTTTGACGTTGAAAGGTAGCATGTAGTCTGCCCTGGTCGTATAATATTTAATTTAAGTGAAGCCCGCTCTCAAAATCTTGCCAAATCCGTTGTTATGCATACAAAATAAACACAAGAAATACAAAATTTTTGGGGCCAGTTGGCAGTTTGAGTTGCGCTTCCTTTTCCCTTATCCTGTTGCTCTTCCTGTTGCTGGCTTTTTACCCCGCTTTCGATTCAGTTTGACTTGTGGATTATGAACCAATCTCATGCGCATTAGCCAGCGGTTCACCTATCTACACACAAAAATAATTTGTTGAACGTGTTGGCACCGCAAAACCTTAGAAAATATTTGCGTAGCTTGCCAGTGARCYAACAAATTGCCAATGTGCCCAGTCTTTTCGGGAARTATTATATATTTATATTCTTACAGCGGCTATCAGTCGGGATATGCATGGATGTAGGTATTTTTATCGTTAAATGAAATATATATACTATATAGCTCATTCATTTCGTTTTGCTAGTTGAGTGTTTTCAATCTCAAAATATCATTTTAGTTTTAAGTTATGATTCACTGATAATAAATTTAATTAATTCGAAAATAATTTTCATTGAAAACTCTGAAATGCTTTTAACAAGAATTTGGTGATATTTATGCAGATTTCATTGAGTGCTATGAAGTGTAAACTTTATTGATTAATTTAAAAGGATGGTTAGAAAACAGACGTGGATCTTTGTATAATGAGTTTTTATATCAAAATTTCTTGTTGAGACGGTTTTATATACAATCGATTTCATAATGGGATTCTCAAATGGCCTTATCAAAAATAATATATACAAATAATAATGAAAAACAGAATTTGTAATTAAGAGCTCTGAAATATAAATCCTAACTTTATTTATATGCTAAGCTTAGAGCTTAAATGCACTAGGCATGAAATGACCAAATTAAAATATTTTTTAGCTAGCAATTCTCTATGAAATATTAAATCATAATAAATGTCCTATTAAGCAGCCATATATTTGTATATTTCAATTTACATTAGGTTAATTGAAGTCAAATTAATTATATTTGATATTCATATTTGGGAAAWYTTTGTCGAGTGTTATACGCTTGGGCTTTCAATTTAATTAATTCAAAATTGAAAATTCACAATAGCTCTCGAGTGTCAAAGGCCTCTCTAATCATTGCGTTGACAGCTCGAAAGCCACACAATGAAAATGACAAGAAAATTAATTGGAAAATCGCATAGCTGGGCACATGTCAACAAGTCAATTCAGATGCTGTAACGCCCAAAAGTTGGGCGTGTCACTGGCTCTTAGCTAATTGCCATAAAACATTTAGCCAATAATTAAATTAATTGCTACTTAAAATGCGATCCAAGTTTCAATGATCCAAGTTTCAACACCAACAACAACAACAACMACAGAAAACCGGACTCCAAGCGCGAGTGAGCCATGTGAAACCGAGTCAAACAGCCCATAAGAGACATCCAGATACACGCACAGATGCCTAGCTGTTTCGCTGCTGTATTCGTTGTTCTTTTGGCCACATTGCGTACGCCTCTTTTGGCCAGCGGCAGCTAATTAACAACTCGAGTTACAATTTTCGACTCGCAACGCGTTTCGCGACTCGTTTTGGCCTTTTAATTAATAGTTGTTGGCTCTGTGGTGGGTGCRCACAGCCCCCAAAAGGCGTTGCAGGCACRTAGCACGTAGCTGCTGGGCGCACCGGGAGAACGGGGGACGGTGGAAGTGGGACCTGACAACGTGTCGTGTGGCYTCTATGCTTCCCAGGTGGCTAACTGCCTTTAGGGGTAGCAAGTGAAAATCGCCGCAGTGTTTATGCCACGTAATTTGCATAACAGAAGCGAGGGAGACAACAACAGCAACAAATAACAGAAGACTGATCTAGTCGGGTTCTGACTATATAATACCCTCAGCTCGAATTGGAGGCTGCCACGTAGTTATTTT